CAGAGAGAGGAGTCGCCTCCTCCGTCTGTCTCGCTGATAAGCGGCTGATAAGCGAACCGTTGGTAAATATAGAACACGTCCCGATGCTCTCTCCTCGGTCACGTTGCGCATCGACGCGATCATGTCTGCCCTGGCAACGCGCGTATGTACGCGTCAGCGAAACGTGGAACCGATGAAATTGCATAGATACACTCTTTTTTCTTTTAAGAAAACAGTCTCGCGTTCAACGTTTCTTTAATGAATATTTATAGCTGTTTTATGTATCGGAGGAAACGAGATAACGTGGCCAGAATATATGTCAAATGCAACAGAGGCTGGAGCGGCGTGTATACACATGGTTAATGTTATATACTATGTAAATTCACGTTTTAGGAAACAGTATAAAAANTATACTGATTTTTATCTGTATACTACTTTTTAATTGTATAGTTAGTGAGTAGAAGTTGTAACGTGAAGAGAAAATGGGACGTTTACTTTAAGATGCAACACCTTTGGCGCGATACAACAATTCTCTACACATTAGCCTACTAGTGTACATTAAATTTGCATAGGTCCCCGACTGGTAGATCCCCACCAGACAGCTTTCGCGAACTGCCGCCTCCAGAGTGACTTCCGGCTCTCTAAACCGGAGGCGGCTACCGACCGGAAGGTCGCCGGAAGTCCGATCGAAGGACACGACTCAAAAGCCTGAAAACTACATTGGAAGATCACGAATAATACAAAGAGACGAACGAGTGGATTCTTGCAAATTATATTCGACTTAAAACTCCATCACGAGTTCTGGCGAGCGAGGCCGTCGGTAAAAACCGCGGGGGAGGGAGTTGTACGAGGCCTAGGCAAGGAGGAGGAGGAGGAGGCAGGATCGTAAAGAGAGAAGTAAACAGCGCGAAATAACCGGATACCAGAGGGGCAGGCCTTCCCGCGCAAAAACAGCTCTCGTGTACACACCGACGGTAAAAATTAAATGGGAGCCACGGAGTGTGCGTGTCTCTGGTGCGCGCGAGTCGGAATAATAATTATATGGGCCAGTGCAGCCGGTGCGTGGGAGGAACCGTGGCAGTCCGACATATTGTCATTAACCTCGTCCCATCAGCGGCGTTTCGCGCGCGCGCGTATACAGACACGGGACTGAGCTCTGTACGAGACAAAACCAGAGAGAGAAAGAGAAAGAGAAAGAGAGAGAGAGAATCCCGCGAGCATTTACGTAACTGTCGCACTTAATCTCCCGTATGAATCGATATCACGCGACGATTCCTGCGTGCCCGGCTGTGTCAGGTATCGATGCGTGAAGGCTTCGCATCTCATCACGAAACGCGTCGTCCTAGCTTCACATCAAAAGCCTCTCAATTCTCGTTAAATAATATTAAACAGACGAGAAACGAACACGTCGAAACTCAACGGAGGAACGAAACGCTTAATCCCGAATTTTCCTGATTCCAAAGAAATTTCTATAAAAAATTGTCAATGCAAATTATGAAAGAACAGTCGGACGAGCTCGTAGCTTGGAAATAACGCGCAGTATACGTACGCTACTCCGGGTAGTATTAACCTCGTGCGTCGCCAGTGTGTACGCACGCTAGAAACGCGTCACGCACACCAGCTTGACGCCGCGTAGCACACACGTGGTGCTCATTTTCCAGCACGTGTGGGTGCGTGCGTCGCTCACGCGAACCAGCCGCACACGCACACGTTCGTGCATCGCCACTCAAGGCCGTATCTGCATCCTGCTGTACGTTCGCACACAACGAGGCACCACCCGCTATTAGTCGGTGGAAAATCGACGCGGGTTCTCAGACCGGGGCCGTGGAAAAAGGGAAACGCGGATCATCATGTGCGCAACGTTCTTTCAGCCAGACGAATTATTACGGAGACGATTTTTCCACCGTGCCTCGCCGTTTATTCCAATTTATTTCGATTCCTAAAAAAAAAAACGTATTTGAAATTTTGCGAGAGACTTTTTATCTACTGTCGCTGGCTATGCGGGTTGAATCGGGCAACGTCCATATCGTGGCAGAAACCGCTTGGAGACCGTTCGATAATGGGCTTCGTTTCGTAATCAATGTCACAGCCCACATAAGCGCGACTAAATGGAACGTACTGTTCCGGGAAATTAGTATGAGACTCGTTCACCTGCAGCAACCTGTTTGCACGTATAACGCTTCCTATCGAACGACCGAGACGCGTCGTTTACAGATCAAAATTAAAAGTCCTTTTCATAACGATAAAAAATAGTAATTGTTGAAACAGTGGAAAAAAGAAACGAACAGTATAAGTGGAAAGTCGAGTTGCACCGATAGCGAGCGATTGTCGGGACATAATTTATCAATGTAACGAGCTGGCGTGCGGCTAATCGACAAAGAACGAAAGCAAAAGGATGAATCAGCGAGGCGAACATCTCGCGGTACACGGAGGGAAAAAAAATTCAAACGTTCCTCGCGAAGAAAAGTTATTACGCCGATGAGGGATCGATGATTCGGCCGAATAAAAAAAAGGGCCGCGTACACCCCCGGGAAACGGCGTTGGAAAAGTTGCACCCTTGCCAATTAGCACACGTCGCTGGGCAGAGGAACGTTCAACTCTATTTTTAAATCGCTTCCTCGTCGATCAGCTGGTCTGAGAACTCAGAATTTTTGCAAATTCCTCGCGCTATTTTAGTACCTCAACAATTCTAAACGCGTTCTAAATAAAACATCGCTCACGCGAACCAGCCGCACACGCACACGTTCGTGCATCGCCACTCAAGGCCGTATCTGCATCCTGCTGTACGTTCGCACACAACGAGGCACCACCCGCTATTAGTCGGTGGAAAATCGACGCGGGTTCTCAGACCGGGGCCGTGGAAAAAGGGAAACGCGGATCATCATGTGCGCAACGTTCTTTCAGCCAGACGAATTATTACGGAGACGATTTTTCCACCGTGCCTCGCCGTTTATTCCAATTTATTTCGATTCCTAAAAAAAAAAACGTATTTGAAATTTTGCGAGAGACTTTTTATCTACTGTCGCTGGCTATGCGGGTTGAATCGGGCAACGTCCATATCGTGGCAGAAACCGCTTGGAGACCGTTCGATAATGGGCTTCGTTTCGTAATCAATGTCACAGCCCACATAAGCGCGACTAAATGGAACGTACTGTTCCGGGAAATTAGTATGAGACTCGTTCACCTGCAGCAACCTGTTTGCACGTATAACGCTTCCTATCGAACGACCGAGACGCGTCGTTTACAGATCAAAATTAAAAGTCCTTTTCATAACGATAAAAAATAGTAATTGTTGAAACAGTGGAAAAAAGAAACGAACAGTATAAGTGGAAAGTCGAGTTGCACCGATAGCGAGCGATTGTCGGGACATAATTTATCAATGTAACGAGCTGGCGTGCGGCTAATCGACAAAGAACGAAAGCAAAAGGATGAATCAGCGAGGCGAACATCTCGCGGTACACGGAGGGAAAAAAAATTCAAACGTTCCTCGCGAAGAAAAGTTATTACGCCGATGAGGGATCGATGATTCGGCCGAATAAAAAAAAGGGCCGCGTACACCCCCGGGAAACGGCGTTGGAAAAGTTGCACCCTTGCCAATTAGCACACGTCGCTGGGCAGAGGAACGTTCAACTCTATTTTTAAATCGCTTCCTCGTCGATCAGCTGGTCTGAGAACTCAGAATTTTTGCAAATTCCTCGCGCTATTTTAGTACCTCAACAATTCTAAACGCGTTCTAAATAAAACAATCATAAAGCTTTGTCTTATTTATATTTAACGGCCTTTATATATATATATTTAAGGAGGAACACTTGAGAAAAATATTTATCAGATATTGGAAACGTGCTCATTAACGTTAAATACTATATTCCCTGGCTTTGTACTCGGTACCATTTATCTGGCGAACGGTTTCATTTGTTCGCGAGAATAAGGAGGGTAAGGCTCGGCCTTATTAAGGCCTCGTTTGGCGCACGAAAATTTTCTCCACGCGGAGACCACGGTTGAATCACTCCCTGACAAACCCCGCCTCGCATTCATCTTTGTCCCCTTTTGTTCTCTTGCTTAAAAAAAAAAAAAAAAGCTTTTAAGAAATTCTGGACAGATAGCAGGCCAGCAATTAGCCCCTCCGCGAACGAGTAATCGATTTTCCATGAACAGAGAACGCCCGGCCGTTTTCACCGAATTAAAACTGCACGAATTTTTCTCGCTAACCCAATTTGCGTTTTACGTCTCGGGGAACGTAATAAGTCCTCGATAAGGGCTGCCGACGTTAAGAGTAGACTAACGGCCGGGTTATCGTCGGCGCCCATCGTTGCTGCGTATCGCGATCGTCGTTAAATGCGGTGGCTTCGACTTGTTCGCGTGCAGGGACGCGAGCGCACGCGAGAGAACGGTGCAGTATGGCAGTAGTGCAAGCAATCACTCGGATTGACGGAAGTGGACACGGGAGACGCGGCGGGGCGACGCGACGGACGGACGGGGGGGGAAAAACGGAGAGAGCCCGCGTGAGAGGAGAACGCGGCCGGTGACGTCACATCCGGCTGCTCGCCGTCGACGTTTCACTCTCTTTTTCTCGCAGTCCGCCGACAGAAAGAAACGCGAAACGCGTGCACTGAATTCCTCGTGTCTCCTATGCTCTCTCGCGGATGCCTCAGCGGCATTCGGATCCGCGTACCTTCTTCTATTATCGCGGAATCACGCGTCATCAATTCGAAAAATTCTAGCCGTGATCAGGCTTGTTAAATTATATTTATCGAATCGCCATGAGTAACTATAGTTGTATCAATGTTTGTGTGAAATATCCAAAAATTCGTGACATGATCAAGTCACGAGAGAGTAGTGTGATTTCGATTAGAACTTCAGTTCTAATGTACTCGTTGTACGAGTTAGTTAGTTAGTTAATGTAGAAATAATACATCATACTTAATGATGAAAACTGGTAAACCCCTCTAATTCACGACAGACTAATAAAATAATAGTCGGATCCAAAACAAGAATTCAGTTTATAACGGATTGCAGCTCACCTATTTTACTGTTGGGACTGTAAGGATCGTAGCTGCTGGTGCTCATGGGGCTGGCGTATCCGTTGTTGCTGCCGGGCTGCTGCTGATGGGCGAGGGGGCTGGAGTGCGCCAACGGGGGCTGCTGCTGCTGGGAGTCCGTCAGCTGTTGGGCATTGGCGAACACCACGTGCTGCGCCTGTAGGGTGGCGGACGGCGAGCCGGGGCTGTTCGTCGACAGCCAGTCGTCCGGCCGACCGGTTTTACTGCCGGTTATACCGGCGAAGAGGCCCGCGGTTGCACCGGCTATCGGCCCGGTGACCGACCCGGGCGTCGCCGACGTGCCCGCGAGTAGTTCGGGCGTCTCGGCCTTGACCAGCGTCAAGGACGCCGCGCCGGACACTATCGCGCCCACCCCGGCGCCCGGTACCCCGTTAGTCGTGTCCATGCTGGAGTCGCTGGTGTCCATGCTGGACGTGGCCGGATCCGCAGCGGCTAACCTGGAAGTGGCTGCCAACACGACACCCCCCGTGCCAACCACTCCCGACGCCTCATCGTAACGCACCGCTACGTTGCCGCTCACTAAGCTGGCCACCGTGACGGCTCCTCTCGCTGCTCGCTCCTTTGTGGTTCACTCGCCGCTTAAAAGTCCCTTCCGCGAGTTCGGGCGAAGCCGGGCTTCCGAAACGGGTCTCCCTGTTAAGCGCGATGGGTGGTAGTCGTCGGCCGGTTGGTTCGTGGTCTGTTCGCGACCCGAAGCAAGTCTTGGAAGGCAGTGGTGTCCGTCGGTCAGGGGCGCCAGGTTCCTCCTGAGCGTCGACCAGTGAGCTTTCGGATGCTCTAGTTTGAGCAAGCTATTCGTTTCTATTGGATATGAACGAGTCTCCTCGAGGGGGTGCTATAATTGCTATTATGCGAGTGCTTATGCTTTGTATTCTATGTATCACGAATGGGTGCTTAGAACTGTTCCGTAGATTCTCGAGGGACTTCCTCTACCGCATCTTGAACTCCGCCCGTAACGGAGGCTCCAAATGCATGCTGGATCGCCCGTTACCGTCTTGAGGTATCTGCAACAAATTATTTCAAACTGGTTAGACGATTCTCACAAAATTCTCCTCGAAATTGTTTACCGCATCAACGAATTACGTGTCTCTTCTCGTTATCTGATAAGATAATCGCAATTACAAGAATTTCAGTAATACCAGTGACTGAGATTAGGGCCACTTGAGGGTTCAGTGTACCCAGAATTTGCATTTCAATCGGCCTCTGCCTACCGCATTATCAATTAACAGTCTCTCGGCTTATCGAGAACGGATCTCGATAAGTTATCAGAAAGGACGCGACCGTTTTCTGTCATGCCACGATCCACCACTGCGGTAGGTAACGCGTTGGATTCAGCAGTAAACAGGCCGATCCTCGTTGCGAATAAAATAAGGAAGACACGTGAGTTATCGAATAAATTTCTTAAATAATCGTTGCCCGCAATTTCCTTTTGCGTGAAGAAATCACGGGTAATGATACGGTCGAACGATCGGATGAAACTGCGAGCTGGATATTCTTGGTCCTCTGATCTAAACTCTCAGTCGGCTGAAATTCACGCGCCAGGGCCAATAAACTTCCACTGCTGCGAGCGACGATTAGTTAAACAATTCCGATCCGATTACAAAGTCGATTCTTTAATACTAATTTTGGTCCGACGAATGCACACGGTGCTCTGTTCTTGACATTAAATTTGATCAAACGGAACGAAGGGGGGAGGAGATGATCGTGTAGAAATTGCATCGAACGATTGAGAGAGAAAACGATTGCGACAGAAGTCGCGCCTGAAGGATGGCTGTTGAACGACGCATTTCTATATCGATGGCGAAGGCTCGTTCGATCGTGGGATGCGTTCGCGGCGAGCAATGCCGAGTGAAAGTGACGGTCACGTGGACCCGTCGTTTTTGCGATTCGCTCACGAAGTAAAATTTGCATTGCCAATAAACGAGAAAGTACCTTCGGTTTCTGATTATTTTATAACAACTCCATTCCCCGAACACTTCCGAGCACCTATCAGACGTCACATTTAATATTCCAAGGGGAACTACGAACTCGTCGACACATCTGCGAGCACACAGTTGAGCCTCGTGAACCCGTTTCACTGGAGCACAGCACAAATTCCGTAAATTCACGCGGACCGCGAAATCCGGTTTCGATTCGCGGCAACTACATCGTCGAGACGGATTGTAAAACGTGCCCGGGACTTCCCTGAGAAAATGGGAAGAAACGCTCGCGAATCGACGTGGAACGCGCGATTCGAGGAGACGAGCGACGACGTGACGCAGTTCGCCCAAACGTTCCCCACCGCCGGGGCCCCGTGGGCCTTGAAACGGTGACCAATGGTAGGCCGACGGGGCCCGCGACTTTCTACGCAGCTCCGGCCTACCTGGCCCCAAAAAACGACGACCGAGAATTCCGATTGCGGCGCGCTTCGCCTCCGACCACCTCCAGTCTCGTTCCGTCCGAGACTCTTTTGTTTACCTGTTCATCCCTCCACTTCTCGCGACCCCCCGCCTGGCCCAATAACGGACCTAAACCGTTTCCTGGTGTTCCGTCGGCCCACGGCTCGTCACGTTTTCGGAATTTCATTTAAGGACGTTATGGCAACGAATCTAAATAACGCCACGTGCCACGAATGTCTCAACATTCTCAGTGAGAAAAAAATCAAGGGTGGCAATCAGTGGCGGAGGAAATTTAATTAAACATTTTCATACATCGATTTAAAAAATATTTCAATATTTTATACAAAATTGCCTGTTTCTCATTTATGTTGTAATCGCAAACTCAATTATTCTGAGAGGCAGAGCTTGCTGGATGAAAGGCATCCGCGTTAATGAATCAGAACGTCGTCGCAGTGGAGATTGATTCAATCATCGCGACGAGTCCAAATATTTGGATCAATCCGCCGCCGCAACTTCAATAATTGATTATTCAGGCCGGAACGACGTGCAACGCAAACTTGTTCTGTCGGTGACACATGGTCTGTCTAGCAGCAACCAGCTATTGTCAGAAGTCGGCCGTGCGTGTTCCCAGTGACAGGCCGGTGATTAATAAATCGCTGTTTTCGGCTACACGACCCGGTATCAAACGACACCGGTCTGATCGATAGATCACTACCGTTGGAACTATCTGTCACCGACGCGACGTCAGCACCGCCTCTCCACTGAATCAGAATTCTACCGCCGTTCGTACAAGCGAAATAATTTGTATTTCTCTCCCAGACTGGTTGATTTAATTGAAAATCATTATTAATAACGAAGCGGGAACGAGTTGTTCTTGAAAATCCGGTAGGCAGTTCAATTTCCGATAATTGCGGCTGAAAAGTGGCCGGCCCTTTTTTCTCGACACTCGAGAAAGTCGAGAGAGGAGAAACACACGGCCGCGATATCGAAACACGTCCGGATATTATTACGGATATTGAATTCATGTCGGGGGCTGGACGTGCGCGGCGAATCGCAAATTGAACGCGGGATAGCGCGGCTGCAGGACCGGACAGTCGGGTGGACGCGTCGCGACGACGTTCCGCGACGCGAAATTATATATCAACAGGTAGCGCGTCGACGTTTTTCTCGCATTAACGCCGTCGAATCGAATTTTAACTACGGCTACCAGACTCGATATGTTTCCATTCCAGTTTAGAGTTAACAGCGATATCATACGTAAATGCGGTGTGAAATATTATACTTCACTAGAATTGGACTTGGCGCGTTCGTAGAGCAATCGGACGTACAGCAAATGTAATCGATTTAAATGCACGAATGGTGGACAAGAATTTTTAAATATAAAACATACAATAATTATTGGAGAGAAAAAATAAATTTCAATCTGAATTTTTTTTTAATTCATATCACAACCAATTATTGCATATAGAAATCAGTTCGATTAAAAACAGTTTTCTAAAAAAGAAATATTTATAAATAATCCACCGAGAGAATCTCAAAGATTTATAATCTAAATGAAAGGAGAACATTCTTATTTATGTACACTGGAGTATTTGTATTGAAATCTGAATTCCAATGGAAACTAGAGTGGAACCTGGACGAATCGATAGAACGCCCCTGGCAAATCGTAATCCTGTTTCCCAACCCCTGGACTTGAGGATTCCTCCAGGAATGCAAGAAACACCTCCGCTCTATTTCTGATTCCCTGATTTCACGTGAAACCTATTCCTCTTTTTAAATTCCGTTTTAATTCATGCATACCCGGAGACGTGTAATTCAACTGCGTTTCTTTTTAATTATAAAACTTGTTTAAGTATAAACGAGGCGAGTAGAATTATGTTTAAACGAAATTACTTTTTCCACGTGAATATTATTTTAATTAGAAAACTCGTTTTAAAATTCCAAGGGAAAAAATGAAATGATAAGTAGATTGAGACGTTCATGGTCAGACCCACGAGTTGGAATATGAACAGAATAAAGTGTGACGGGTTAATACGAATGGGTGACGAGGAAATGGAGACGAAATAAGATTAGAGACGCAAACAGGACATCTAGGTCAATGCCTAGGCTGGCCTAGCTGTAGGACGCGAATCCCGGCTGCGACCTCCCAGCAATGAATCTCACCCCGAGGTAGCACGAGGGTTGCAGGACGTAGCATCCGATCCTATCACCGAATCAGGACGTCGTTTCGATATGCCACAGATAAGAGATTTTCCAAAAATTTTTCCACGTTCCGTCGCGACCGAAGGAAAAACGACGCAGCCGATCCCGGGAGGAGGGGCTGCAGGACTCACTGCAGGGACATGACGAGGATGGAGAAAGCCGAGAGGACATCTAGGTCAATGCCTGTCCTCGCTCCAGGGTTCGCATCCCGGCTACGACCTCCGATCAACACCATCCACCCACCCGACCCTCTGCCGTAGAGACACCCACGCCTCTCCCCATCCCTGGTACATCCATGAAAGACGTCACGGTCGGGCCACGAAAGACCCGACGCCTTCTATCCGTCAGCAGGATTGATGTTCGCGGGTCGTAGACTTCGGATCGACGAATGGAAATTAATTGGACGTCTAGCTCACGAATCATCCCCCTTTTTCCCTCCCCGGCGACGACTTTCACCCCACCCGGTATACAAGTCTGGCCAGGTCTCTCTTCCTCTCGGTGGGTCGCGGTCTCGCTCTCTCCTGGTAACTAGGCCATCAGATCGATCCTACAGCAGGCACACCGACACCGCTCGCTGCAAGCGCCGCGCCAGCCAGCCAGCCAGAGCCAGTCGTCTCAAGTTTCTCCGGCTTGGCTTGGTCTGGGTTAGGTCTGGGTTAGATCCTCTCTTCGAGGCCACTCCAGACTTCGGATTCTGGCCGCAGAGGGCCCACCGTCACGCTGTCGCACGATGCTACGCGTTCCATCAATCGCGTCCACGATAAATCCCTTCTAACTTCGAGAGTTTCACTTGAAATAAAAAAAAAAAAAAAATACTGCAGTTCTA